GTACTTGGGATACTAGATCGACATATAGGCTTTAAAAACATATTTTTTCACTTCTCATGGTGCGTCTGTATTTGGGGTTCTTACACTGTTTTTAGATTGTTAGTTCCTTGACCCCTGTTTTCCGGTAACTTCTTTAATTTTCTCTTGAAAGTTTGGAATCAATCAAAGTTCATATCTTAAATAAACCTTCTTCTATTTTTATATTTTCAGATATAACATCTTATGGTATTTTAGGCTTTATTTCTATACCAACTGTACACTTGTGTTCTGATGAAGCTCCCTATGCAAGTACTTTCTCTCTATTATATTCTTTTCATATTTGTACCGAATTGGCGAATTCTCTCATCCTCCCTATCTCTCTGTCACCAAACACACCAAAGCAGTAAACTCCATGAAAAGCTCCATTGACAGCCATTAAAAAGTTCTGAAGCTTTGTCTTCGAAAATCGAGTTATACAAAATTGTTATTTTCTTGGCTTAAGTGTTATTATAGACTATTGGGTATATCCTTTGGAGTTTATATGTCAATGTTAAGGTGATTTGGTGAAGATTAAAGTTGGTTTTGAATGGATTTTCAGATTGAAACTCGAATAAAAAGAAGAACAATAACTTGTATGTTATTTGCATGTCCAATGAATGAATGGACATACAGTGACATTGTGTTAAAGTTTAACGACTAATAAATTAATCTACATTAGCTCTCCATTTCATAAGCTTTGAGGTTCATTATTTTACCATAAAAGAAGGAAATTTCATCACTAAAAATAAATATCATACTACCGATAATTGCAAAGATTATTTACAATTGATAATACTATTAGTTGCACCTCACTTAAATTCGTTAATTTATCCCTCTCATGTACTTATCAAGTCTAACATTTAGTCTCAATATTTTGATCTCCCGGTCCAAGATAAGGTACATTAGATACATTGCACAATGTACACAGTTAAAATTAATCATTCCAACTTATCACAAGATTAACCAATTCTATTCGTGTGTTTCCCAGAGACTAGTTAGCTAAAATATTTCTGTGAGCATACCCATCCGTCAACATAGATGTCTTTTTCACTTCCTCAGTCACCCACAACACCAGCAAAACTACCCAATACCAGTTAAGAAACAAAAAGCAATCCCACAATTCACAGAACATATAACAAAAGAAAAAAAAATGCACATCACAAGCAAATTTCTCACAGCTAATAATCATCAAACAAAGATACACCTATGAACCATTCCAAACATCAAAAGATTTGGTTTTTTTTCCATAATCACAATCAATCAACCACTATATATCAGACAAAACATTATGTCTTAAACTTAAGCGGTGTGTCAAGTCAAGGCCACAATTCAAGAACCAATTTAAGTATACTATTCAAGACATTCTAAATAAACCCTACTTCCCATCAAACAAGAACAAACAGTAAATTACCAAAATATCAAAAAAAGCAAACGAGAAACATCAAGAATCAGTAATACCCACCTTAGAATCACTCATGTTGTGCAGAAAACAGCAGTGCCGGAACTGATTGTTGATTTCTGAATAATATAAGCTAAAGTTAACAACTTTACGGTGAACTTATGAAAAGTCAAGGATTGCTTTGAAACCCTTGTTGCTGCATCAATATAAAACATGAAATAGGAAGATACAAAAAGGGAGAAACAGGGCATTTAAGATTAGATGAAGAAAATCCAATAATGAACCGGAGAAGCATCGAACAATCCCAATAAAAGTAGAACTCCAAAACCAATAAAGACAAGGATTGAAATAAATAAGGATTTTGGGTTTTTCGTGAGTTTTGTGAGTTTTGTGAATGTTTTAGGACAGTGGCTTATAGGTTTCTTAGGTTTTTTTGGCTGCGGTCACTTTATATATGAGTTAGCAGCAAATTCCTGTTTCTCAATCGCTTGAACAATTGGAAAAATGAGAGTATATGATATTAATTTATTTTTAAAAAAAATGGATATAAATTTCATTTGTAAAGAAAAACTTTTGAATTTTTGTGACCGGAAACAATGTTTCATTTGAGATATAATTAATTTTTTAATGTATAATTTCATATGTTCTTCCAATCAAGCAAGTGACCAACGATTGTCGCCAAAACAAGACGTATAGATTAGAGACTTACAGTCAAAAGCAAGTGACCAATGATTGTCGTCAAAGCAAGAAGTATAGATTAGAGACTTACAGGATCAGGTGGGAACTTGACAAGCCTCGCGGTTACTAAGCTTTCAAAAGTGCGGCGCCCGATCACCTGTGTTTTGTGTAGAACTGAAAGTTTAATGCGGCCGACTTTAAATAGGTCAAGAACTTTATATTTAAGGTTAAGATTTGGAGCAAAATATTATTATTCAAGATTTTGTTCTCCGTGTTTAAGCTTATAAACAAGAGACATTCCATAAATGATTCAATTTGGCATTCTTGCAAAATCTTTCTCTTTAAACTTGTTAAAGGAGAACAGCCTACTAGAATTTAAAAGTACTTCAATAAGATTATTAGATTGAGGAAAATTACTAGACTGAGACATAGTTTAATAACCTAATTGATGAAAAGGCTAAAATATGAAGTGCATAAGTTCATTTTTCAGTGTCTCTCATGCACATATGCTAGAAAACTTGAAAGATACGATATACTTTCATATATGAAAAAGGCAAAGCATCATCTTACAAGTTTATTAGCCATATCGAGAATTCAATACTTTCATAAATAAGGGCTTATTATGACTTCTAGACATGAATGAGTATTTTAAAGATAATATTGATTTAGGTGGAGGAGGTGTTGTTTGAGAGATCATAATGAATCATGACATTTAGTAGGGGTAATAGGTCCTGCCCAAAGTTTGGAACTGTTACAACAATTTTGGTCAAAGTTCGGTTATATTTCAGACTTTTTTCTCTTTTAAAAAACGTATTTGGGGAGAGTCTCAAAGCAGAGTGTAATAAAAACACACTGAAGCGATTTGTTGGGGTGAAAGTACTTGAAACATAATCATAAGTCCTGTCAATTTGGACATACAAGTAGGCGTTGGGTGAAGTTTTGTTTTGGGATGTGAACTCAGAAAATAAAATGCTAATCAAAATAAAAGTAATTGACTAAAAAAACTAATCAAAACTGCTCATCTAAAAAAACTATTACACTTCTTTAAAAAATTAAATAGATTTTTTGTTTTTTTAGATGAAGCGTTTTTATAACCGTAAGTCCCGTTAATTTTGCTTTTTAGATAAAGCATTTTTATATATATGTACAGTTAAAGACAATGCAGATTCATGTGGAGGAGGTGGTCGTCTGAGAAGTCATAATGAAAATATAATCATTACATTTAGCAGTGTTTTAAAAAGTATTTTGGGGCGAGTCTCGAAGTGGAGCTTGATAAAAAGTCACTAAGGCAATTTGTTGAGGTAAAAGTACTCTGAGACCTAATCATAAGCCTCTGTCAATTTGAACATATGAGTAGGTGTTGGATGAATTTTTATTTTGGGATGTGAGCTCTGAAAATCTCTCCTAAATAAAATTAAAAGTTCTAAGTAAATCCTTAAATTAATATCAAAAGGCCACAAAATTCGACTTGTTATAAAAAATTTAAAAATTAAGAAAAATTTAAATTTAAATATTTTTTATTCTTAGCTCTAATTTTATTCTCTCTCTTCGTCTTTCACCATGTAAAGGAGAAAAATTATCAATATGCAAATTACAAAGTAAAAAATGCATCATTCTTCGTCACTTATTCTGATAGGATACTTCTCATGAGTCCGGAGTCAAAAGGGCAAAAAAAAAATTGTCAAAAATTCTAAAAGGGCACATCAAATTTTTTTTAACCAAAAGGGCAAAATCGCTTCTGACCGAGTGATTTTGAATTGACGCCGTTACTCCGTTAGAAAACATAAAAATCACTGCGAGTGATTTCATTCAAAAAAAAAATTCTTAAAATCGTTGTTGTGGCAGCGATTTTGTCAAAGAAATTTTTTTAACAACCTGCCCCTACAGCGTTTTTCTCAAAAAAAAAAAAAAATTGAAATAGCTGCTATATTTTCTTTAAAAAGTTTTAAATTTTTTTAAAAAAATCACTGCTTTCTTCAAGGGAACAATATATTTAAAATGCAAAAAAAAAAAAAATTAATGAAATCGCTGCCTTGCAAGTGATTTTAAAAAAAAATATTTCACTTTTTAAAGAAAATCGCTGCTATTTTCAATATTAAAAGCTATTTTTTGAGAAATCGCTGCAGGGGGGCGGCGATGTTAAAAAAAATAATTAACAGAGTAACGACGTCAATTTTGTCAGAAGGAAATCGCTCCGTCAGGAGCGATTTTACCCTTTTGGTTAAAAAAAATAATTAGTGTCCCCTTTTGAAATACTAACATTCAGCTCCTTTTGGGGATATTAATAATGATATGTTTAATGTAATTATTAAATCGAATTCATACCGTAATTCATATCATCAATAACTAGACTATTTGAATTATTCACTAATTGTGATTGATGTCATCAATAAAAAGAAAAAAAGGTCTTCGCATATGCAAATTAAGAGCATTTTAGAAAAGATTGATACTTTGAAAGGGAAAAACAATTATATTTTGCTCACTATTATAAAGAGACAAATATCATTGGAGATATAATGGCTAACGGAAACCTAAATATTTTACCTTGAAATAATTAATAAAATTATTACATATATTGATGACTCAGTTGTTTGCAAATATCATCTCTGCCATCAAATTTTAGAAACATATATTTTTAAATGTTACAATTTCCTTTAGAAATAAATCATAATCAAATTCCTCGCTACATGCCTTTTCGGGATTATTGTGATGTATAAATCAATTTGTGTGCACCTCGAGTAATTTCTTGAGGTACCTACTACCTCCAACAGGCTTAATCACAGCCTTCTAAACTCGGTGGATAATGGACCCGCCCCTTTTCCCTTCTCCACTTAAATACCAGGCTTTGCTTTGCATGGTGTGGGAAACATTTTGCATTTAACCTTTGAAAAGGTGTCTATTTAAGTCTATCAAAGTTATAAGGATTTCATTGCTGAAAACTAAGCCCATCAACTCAATAATACAATTGTTTTGCTTTCACAGTTACTTTTGTATTTTACCAGCTAACATAATAACCTAGCTTAACTAGATAATAAAGGGTATCCTATCGATGTTTTTGACATAGCTTACCTACATAATACATGTACATTACAATGATAAACATACATTCCTCTCACCATCTACACTGCCAAGCACTGTGCAAGATCATAAAAGTAGCCCGACAATGCGGATGGAACCAACGACGCTCTTTCTTTGTTATTGATGCCAAATGAAAATGTATTTTGGATATGATATGAAGCTTTTATACACATCCTTGGTCCACCATACCACTGGCGATCGTTAGGAAAGCAGAGATCACTGCTCCATGGACCAATGCCCTGCAAATAAAAGGAAACGACAACCTATTGAACTGAACGACATTTGAATAAGAAAAATATCTACTCAGGCAACACCTATCACGGGAACAATTTCCTTCTAACCGTTAATTTAAATTAGTGTATGCATCTATTTACTAAATCTGCAAGAATGGGGATAATTACCCATGCGAATTTTTGTGGTGTCAGTTTTAGAAACTTACTCTGGACTTTCCTTTTGATAACCAAAATCAGTTGCTGCTTTCAGGGCTCTCTGGTAAGTCTGTTTCATAGCCTCCTGCAGAAAGCAAGAGATCCAACTTCACTGTTAACTAGGAATGACATTTGCAACAAAATGGAAAACAGAACAATAGAAGCACCTGCAGGAGAAAAAGATGCTGCTAGCATGCTACTATATAGAACCTCATCTTGAGACAATTAGTGTTGGCTTACAGAATATTTAAGGTCAAGAAGGATGATAAAATACTGCATGAAGATGAATAACATGGGGATATTCTCGAAAAAACTGACTCCAGCAAACGTTAATTTTGTTGGCTAGACAAGTAGGAAAGCATAACAAGTTTAGTTGATTGGCACTTGCTCCAACTGCATATATTTGATCATCACATTCAAACTGAGAAGTTTGATCACATTGACACCTCTAACTGTTGCCCTCTCCCCCCATAACCAAAAGGTAAAAGAAAAACCCCAGTTCTGCATCAAGATGTAAGTGTTAACCTGTAATTTAGACTCAAAATCCTCTGGAGACCAGTTCAAATTGCACTCTTTCAGTTCAAGTTCCCCTGCAACAACCTGCAATGGATAGTAAGAACTTTTATCAATCTAAGAAATGTACACAAACAAGTTGCAGCAAAGTCACTCCACAACAGAAGAAAATACGGGAAACCTAGTCAAATATTAGAGCATGGCTAGATATAATGTTGATACAAATTGGTGCTTCGTGGTTGTTGCATTAACTTGCTAAGCTTCTGTCTAAAACAAGCTTCATAAAACTACAACTTCACAAGCTCTATCTCATAAAGGAAATGTCAAAATAAGATGCCAATAAAGGAAAAGATGATAAAGTAAAAAGAAGATGATGAAAGAAATTGGAAATGAATCTTTTGAGGACATCAAAAAAGTGACACGCCCTCGTGGAAAGCCAGTGAACTGCAGGACAGACTCCGAAATTATTTCCTGTGTAAACATAAAACTGGGATCAGATGAAGAGAATGTGGCTTCCTTCTCCCATTTCCATCATGAGTTCACGGGAATGAACCTTTTTCTTCCCAGTTACCAAGATGATTCATCCTTAGCCTTCCCAATACAATCCATCAACAAGGTCAATATTACAGTTTGAATACCTACTTTAGCACTATATCTTGCCCATGTTGGCAGATTCAATGCCAGTATTAGTGCCACGGGGAAGCATAAGCTCACTTTGAACTAAAGCAAAAGATAGTAGAATGTCATAATGCTAAATCTTCAAATCCCTATATACATAGAAAAAAATGACTTCCGAAGCAAATTCAGGTAGTGCTTGCCATTTTTCAACAAATGAGATACACGTATCATGAAAAGAGAGTAGTCGAGAACAGAGGATCCTACCCCTCCCACACCAGCAGCCATAGAAGGAGCAACTAGGACATTAGCTTTTCTCAAAACGTCTACTGCTTCAGCAGTACATGGCATATTGGAGCCTACAAATGAACGGCAATACAGTTAAAAGTGATAAAATTAAAACACGCCAATTACCCCACTCATTAATCATTATACAGGTAGGATGATGGCCAATAATCACAAACAAGTGAGAATGATAACACGATGTTGACCAATACCTTCTACAAGTATACGGCAACCAGAGTTAACCAAGTTAATGGCGTCAGATTGATTAATTTCATTCTGTGAGGCACAGGGGAATGCAACATCAAACCTTTCACTCCAAGGCTTAGCTTCATCATAGTACTTTGAGCGAGCATAAGTCTTTGAGTAGTCTCTGCAAATATTACTTATAAGTATGCCATTTATTCAAAACTTTTAAGGTATTTGTCTGCACAGCTATTGTGAAAACAAAAGGAAAAAAAAAAACCTTAAGCTTCTCTGCTGAGCTTTGATGTCTCTCAGGAAAGATATCTTCAAGAAATCAAATCCATCATCATCCACCAGATAACCCTTTGCATCTGTAAAATCGTAATTTGCAAACTTAATAATTTAAGTATTGGATTGTATCTGCACCATATAAGTGGTGTAATGAGCTTTGATTCTCACCTTCCAGAAGAGAATCTATTACAAGCATAAACTGATTGCTCAGTAATCCCTCTATGGTAAGCTCTAAGCCAAGCAATAATATTCAGTTGAACAAGGCAGGTTGCAGACTGTACCAATTGATATTGGAATACAGAATTTTTTAATGGAATACCTCTCAGACTCAGAGGCGGATCTAACCTTAAAGCATGTGAACCTAGTAGCTTTTACTCAAACATTGTATGTGTATTAACAAATTCACTAAATACCTATAAATATTTAACTGTGAACTCAACTATATTAACTTGTGGTCATTATAGGAAGATATAAACTTCAAATACTGGATCCACCTCTGTGCTCAGTAGTCATGCAAGCTGAAAACATTTCAGAAGAAATCAGAAAGTTTACCAGATACGGTGATGGGAACGGCCCCATAAGCAATAAGCTTCTCTAGGACATGCATTGCAATCTTTCCAGAACCGCTAACTGCACACCTGTACATACAGACAAGGGTAAACCAGAGGAATTATTACAAAGCCACACATTACTCGAAGAAAGAAGGGACAAAGCCAAAGAGAACAATAAGTTTAGTGAACAATCTCAATTTTTAGGCTACTGTGGGTGTTCTTCCCATCATGTTTAATTTCTTTTTGATCGATTCATCCCAAAACAAAGTGGCCAAACAGATTTTTGCATTGGCTAAATTGAAATTGTTCCAGTGAATGCTTTAAACTATTGACTTCATCTTACTCGATCTACACGACCTTTTCCATCAGCACAGTAAAACACATAGACCCTAAGAATTACTTCATCACCAAAATCACAGACGGAAAAACTGAAGTCAGGATAACGAGTAAAAATACAGTTGCCGCGTGCCATATCATCAGTAGCTATGAAGCTCAAAATAGATATTTATCAATGATAATCATAAAGACGAAAGAAACTAAGACTTAAAAGGCAATATGATGGGAGGAAACTGCTAATGGACATTACAGTACTTTGATGCCAAGGTGCAATAGAAACAGTCACACAAAATACTTCTCATACATCAGCAAACATAAAGCGCAAACAGCTTTTCTTTTCTACTTTGATACCTGCCTATGTAAAATTGCAAATAGTTTCGAAGCCCATAAATATGTCTTGGAGAGGGCAGGTTAAGATGACCTAATAAAGTGCTACCTATGGTGTGTATACTTAAAACTATTAATAAGGGTGTTAAGAAGATAATTTCTCAAAATATGCACAAGATTTGTCAAAATGCTGGCTTTTAATATCCATTTAATTGGACCTCTATGTATTCCGGATTTTGATAAATGTTCAAGTGTCTGTGAAACCATCTAGCTTTCAGACTGGAAGATCCATACAAGAACTCAAACTGAAGGCTGTAAATTATGACAAATGGAGTGGGAAAGTATAAATATCTACATGCTACCAATTCATGTTTTCTGACAAAGATCTCCATGAACTTCTAGCAGGCTTACCACTTTTCAGCTGCACCCATGATGTAGGTATTCTTATAATGGCAAACAGATCCACTGATATTGCCATTAATGAAGATCAGTAAAATAAACCCCAAATATTAGGCTATTTTTCTCTTATATTTCTGATTTCACAGACAAAGAAATCTGTAATTGAAGGGATGGTACCTTAATCCTTTTAGTTCTTTGTTCATGTCTGCAAGCATAAGCTGTGCAAAGAAAACCTGAAAATTGCAAGACAAATTAGTTGGCAGGAACTAGACAAGTATTTAACAATGCAAAACAACCAGAGAAAAAAAAGAGACTTCACCAATCCGTAGCCAGTAGCCTCAGTTCGAAGACTGGAGCCTGACCAATTTACTCTAGGTCCTGTAAAACTTCCCTGCATAACATGAAATGTGTAAAATTCAGTAATTCATATAACTATTTTTTTATGATAAAGGAAACCCGCAGCCGCTACCCTTTGGGTGAGCACGGGGTAAAACCCCCGCTCCTATGCAATAGCTCGCAAACTACATAGGAGCGGTAATCCGCACTAGGCAAGCCCGGTGCGACGAGCTCGACCCAAAAGGCAAACCCCTTGCTTCGCTGGCAAGGGGTTTCAAACTTGAGACCCTCCAACATGGAAATCCCAAGCCCAAACCACTGGGCCACCTCGAAGGGTTCAGTAATTCATTTAACTATAACTGAAAGGAAAGAGAGAGGAGAAAGGGAAAGGAGAATGTTTATAATCATTTGGATGATGCACAATATTTAGTCCAACGAAAAAGGTTTAAAGTAAACTTATTTTTTTGATAATAAGGTTTAAAGTAAACTTATTCAAAGACACCAAATCTGGTGTTTCAGGCATGAAGAAATGTTTATCAAGAAAAGGTAAATGTATTATATGTATAGCACCAAGAAGGTGCTGTCAAAAGTACTAACAAACTATCTTTTTCTATTCCTAAAGTGATTCTATAAGTTCTATCACTTTTTATCATCATCATTAACATAACTCTGTTTACACCAAAAAATAAAACAAATGTAAACAGCTCATTTTGATCTTTCCAATGGACTCTTAAAGAAATGTTGATTATCTAGTCTTAACATCTTAGCAACATCAAGTGCTTCAGGACTATGCGTTATCTATATGATTGGCACAGCTCTTAACAGGTGTTACCATGACCATATAGTCAATTAGAGACGTGTATAGAAACAAACAAACAAGAAAATGAAAAAAATAACACTAGTCATACGGAGATGCTTTATCTAGAAGAGTTAGAACCCCTAAAGGAAAGGACTAAAACCGCTGCAAAATTGTTACCAGTATCTTAACTTATTACAAAGACAGCCAAACAACTTCCATATACATACTTGCAAACCAATACTTACTACGAACATTTTATGTTACATCAAGGATAATAAGCTAGATCTACCTGTTTATCAATAATAAAGAGCCACTTAGCATATGTGAATCATTAGCTAATTTTGGAAGTATTTTTACTGCTTTCCTACTTTAAAGTTTCCTAATTTAAAAGTTTCTTAATTTAAAGTTTCCTAGTTAGATTTTTAGTAGAATTTGAAGCTCATGCTATTTGGGATATGTTGTCCCTATATATGTAGGGATGAATTTTGTTATTTTCAAAAGCCATGATTAATATTTTTTGAGAGTTTTCTCTTCTTTTACACCTTTGTGTGTGGTGACTATGGATTTATATTCTTCAAGAGTTGAGATTAATTCTTAACTTGATATCTTTGGTATCTATTAAAGAAATTAGTCTTATACTAATTGTTGTCTCTAATTTCTACGAAATAGGGATCCAGATCACTTTTTATCTAAGTTCTTAGTTTACTCTATTAGTATCATAATTAGCTTTTATCCATTATTTTTTAAAAACTAAGATCAATTAGGGTTCTTCGCACTTGATTTCAAAATTTTGGGATTTTGTTCGCAAATTTCGCCTATCTTTGATTTCTTGCCTTTAATCTTAGTATTTCCGCTTCCGCATTATTTTCTTGTTTATTCAAGTAACCTGATTCTTATCAAATCCCTATTATAAAAAAGAATGGGGTTACTAAATATCCCACTTACTTCTAGTGGTTACTCATGAATTTGTTTCCCATCTTTAGTCCTTTCAATTCATTCACCCCATTCCTTTTATTGACTTCTTGCTCCTGTTGCTTGCCTATATTCTATTGCCTCTTGCCGTTATGATTTAAAACCTGCATTGTAATAAATCCTATTTTCCCCCATTATAATGTCGTAGAATTTAAAACCTGCATTGTTATGAATCTTATCTTCCTCCGTTATAATGTTCCGGCCTAACTACCGCAAAAAAAAAATGTAAATGTTGTTGGAGTGAAATCAACCTAGAAAGGCCTAACCTCGAAAAGTATGCCTGAGAGCATTTTATCTAAGGGGGTTGTCTTTGGTTTTGCAGATTTGAACATAACATCATAATGCTAACTTAACACAAAAGCAAATAACATAATGATATGTACTTGTTCATATCCTCCCCCCCAAGAGTCAAGACTTTGGTCTAGTGGTAAGAGCGCAACATTGATGTGTCACGTCACAGATTCAAACCTTATAAAATATAAAAACTTCGTATTTAAGAGGAGAATGTTAGAGGGGTGGGTGGATTATCGACGAGTTTAGAACTGTGCGTTACTGGCCCTCGGGGAACTTACAGTTGAAAAATGAAAAAAATAATCCACCACCTCCTCCTCCTCTCTTTTTTTTTCTTCTATTTTTTGCCTTTTTTGAGTTAAAATATCTGAACATTAAGCTTAGCATAATGTTCTGCTGTCATCCCGTGAAATTCAGCAAATTTCATATATGTGAATTATCAGCCTCTTGATTCTTGTATATGTTTTAAGGAAATTAGCTCGTCTGGACTTGACCATTCTTATCCATTGCCACACTAGATGCAGGAAAAGAAAGAAATTGGAGGACCAGAAGGATAAGATCTTAAATATCAGAAAATTAATCATCTTCACCTGTGAATGACCCGCCAGTCGGCGATATTGTCCATGCAAAAAGCCCATTTCTCGAGTACCAACACCCATCTCCTCCGAAGGAAGATCCTACATGATCAGACGATAAATCAAACTACAGAATTTAGATCTGATTTGACAGGAAACTGAAAGTGAAAACAGATGTAGACATAAGTATTTAGCTACCTTTTCAGGACCCAAATAACGATACAGTTCATTCATAAAACTCTGACAAAATCGCATAACCTACAGTGAAGAAGGCAGAAAATAGAAGATTTTAGAAAAACAACAACAACAACAACTACTACTACTACTACTACTACGCCACAATGCAATAAAAAATTTGGGGACCATTATAGAAGAAAGTCTAACGCTTGAAATAAACTTGTGACTAGAAATCAACATGGTTAAACGATAAGCATATACCTCACCATCACTTTTGCTTTTAGGATCAAAATCACTTCCACCTGAAGAACCCCCAAGTCGGTAAGGCGACAAGGCATTTTTCAAAGTCTACCAGACGAGAGCAAATCAAACATTATGAGAAGCAGCATACTTTTTCAACTCAACTTCACACTACACCTTCATCAAAAAGATTAGATGGGAAAAAGATACAGCAATCGCTTGTACACTATAGAGCAAATATACACACATTATAAGTGTTCTGAAGTAAAATTAAAAGACTAAGATAGATGGCAGAAAATCACCTGTCCAAAGCTAAGAAATTTGGCAATACTCAGGTTCATTGATGGATGGAACCGGAGACCACCCCTGCACGGACCTAGAGTCTGATTAAAATGAACCCGAAACCCTCGGTTCACATGCGTCTCACCCCTATCATCAACCCACGGCACTCGAAAAACAATTGTGCGCTCAGGTTCTAATAACCGCTCCATGGTGCTTACATAACTAACACAGAGTAAAGTTTCCTTATCAGAGTTGTAATGATTACTCTTCATACATATGGTTTACGTTCAAGACACTTACCTTGAGTTCTTTGAAATGACTCTTTCTAAAGCGTGAATCGCTTCTTGAACAGACTGTATGAATTCTAGCTCATGAGGATCCCTTTTCAGTGCAGCTTCAATAATCGATCCAGCCGTTTTTGACATAAGAGCTTTTAAGAGATTTCAACAGCAATGAAGAAGTTAGAGAAATATCTCAGTCTCTCGGAAAAAAATCCGACACCCACAAAAAAAGAAACAAGAATGATTTGTGAAATGACTATGTATTCTTGAGTGAAAATATGTGTGTGAGCTTTGGAGATGAGACAAATTGATTTCAGTGGTTATTGTTTTTCTTTTACAAAACAGCGCACATAGAATTAAACAAAGATGGGCCCATGATGAGAAACTACACTTGTCACAAATTTACAACCCCATCCATCAATATGGAATAGAAGACCAAAACCAACTCTCGACTCGGCCATACTTGATGTCACACAAATACTTCTCAACATAAGGGTCAATGTAGTATGTTAATTAATTTGTTTCCCTATTCAATAGTCATACAAATTCATGCCAGCATACTGGATAAAGCCTGTTCTAGAAACTTCTAGACTTTCCCATAATGCTTATTGTATTTGTTTAGTTGGCTCAATCAGGCCCCTGTAACTAGTTGTGTTCAATTTTTGGATTGTGTCTGCTCCTTGGTGATGGAAGTTCTTTGGTGTATATGAGCAGGCACTATCTCCCTTTCTTGCAATCTTTTGCTTGCATCGTCTGGATGATTTTTGCTGAATTACCCTTACTTCATCGAAAAGGCTTATGTGGGAAGATGTCCCTGGAGATTGGCCCAAGTGGTAACAGTGTATTGTGTGATGTGTGGGTTAGGTGCACATCATGGTTTTGAACCTGTACATAAGTGAAGGGTAGAGGAGTAGACCATTAGCCACCATGTTTGAACCGTGCACCATTGGCTCCAGGGATTTCTCAGTTACCAAAAAATGAGAAAAAAAATATGTTGAAAGATTTACAAGTTCTTGCTTAAATATTAACAAATTAGCTCTGCTCTTAGCACTGACATCAAACCCATATAGCTCAATTTAAGTGGGGGGAAGGCTGGAGTCTATGAACTCCTCTAGGAAAAAAGACAAATTATGATCACTGAAAATACGGTTTCTGCATCAGTGGAGATTTGAACCATGTATAATAGATGAATTTCTGAAGCTATCATCAATATACCAAAAGAGGAGGTCCGTAGTAAAGAGTTAACATATTCTTGAAAAGGTGTTGATAAATTAAATAAACAATGCTTTAGAAGTCTCATACAATTTTTAAGATAAAAAAAAAAGTGAAAAGGACAAGGTGGATACAACCACCAAGAAAACTAAAAAAGGAAATTACCTTTAACATACAAAGGTTTATCAACAACAATCTTATCTTTGGATGCCATTTGGAGACGAAGAGCTTCTTTGTGAAGTAAACTATTATTATGCTCCTCCAGAGCACTCATCTGCATGTTTCGGCTGCCTTCATTTCCATATGGATTCCTCCTATGCTTCCTACCATATTCTCTGCAAACAGAGCAAAATATCCTTGCTGTGCCATCTTTCACATCAACATATGCCCATTTATACGTATCTGCCCACTCCTCTCTCCATCTTTTAACGACCTTCTTTTTCTTTTTCGCTGGTTGCGTCTTCAACAAGTCCTGATTCCCACCGGAAGCCTGATGAATCATCATCTGCTTGCTCTCATCATGGTCTTCGGCTGCAGATTCTTGTGGTGGAACATTAATCAAAGTATTATTACTAAATGAAGGGTCATCATCCCCAGGTCCTATTTCCAAATCAATCTCTTCTCCTATCTCTCTCACTACAAGATGATGCCTCTGAGCCTGATGGATTAAGTTCATGTCATCCATTGTAGAATTCATCCCACCCCCACCAGTTGGAAGTAGCATTCAGCATGACAATTTATATACAGTATGATTCGGCCAGCTTGCTGCAAACATAATACACACTAATAAATCTACTTGATTAAATCTCAAAATGCTCCAATACCAGTGCGCATTAAGAGTTGAACAGTTAATCATAAATTGAAAAGCATACTGAATTTTCTTCTCCGTGTTCAGGGTCAGAATTTTGGAGGCTAAGTGTTTGCCTATCTCCTACCTCTATTTACTTTCAGATCAGGCTCTACAATCGCCGTTAGGTAAAATAAGAAATAAAAGAGGGGACCAAGGAAGAAGGAGAAACCAGTTGGCTTGAGATTATCAACAAAGCATTCTTCATGACCTACCAACTTTATAAATGCAGTAGCAAATCCTAGAAAAAATCAATTTTCAGTAGTATACACTCAAAATTTGTTATTGAATAAACATCGGGTATTCTTATTCATGAAAAGGAATTGTATTGCACATATACTACTTCCAAAATTTCCTAGTTACTATGGACTTGAGACGAAGTGTCCTCATGAGTAATATGAGAAGCTAATTGTAGTAGGAAGGATTTAATATTAAACTGACAACGAAGAACAAGGAGGGAAGAGTTAAATAGAAAATCATAGCTTAAGTACTATGCCATATGTTGCTGAAGACAATGTACTTACAACAAGATTGTTTAAGAAGACGCAAATTAAACTTGATTGTAACTCATCTTAGCTCAATTTCAAGAAAAACATTCCTAATAATTATTAAAGACAGTTATGAACACTATGGTCTACATCACTCGATGGAAATACAGTTACCAATTATGTTAGTTCTATTACTCAATGTACTTGGTCAATACAAGAAATTGAGGTGCAATTAAGGGGAAAGGAAGCATTTCAGAGGTAAATGCATATCTCCTAACTATAACAATAGCATAAGGAGGCGCTGCTGGTGGTCTTCTAAGGCAAAAATGAGGAAAGGGGAGACATAATTAAAGAAATTGATTACTGATTTAAATCAAGACGGGGAGAAATATATTTATGCCTCATTCATTGCATTGATCCTAAATGAAAGGGGCAATTGAGATCAAGGATTACAGACCAATCAGCCTTATAAACAGTGTTTACAAGATTGCTTCTAAGCTTTTGGCAAGAAGACTTGAAACTGTTACTTGAAGCTAGTCTCTGGTAGCCAGAATGCCTTTGTCAAGGGAAGGCAAATCACTGATGCATCCTTATTGCTAACGAGGCAATGGACTGGAGACTCAAAAGTGGAAAGCCAGGGGTGCTGTTCAAATTGGATATTGAAAAAGTTTTTGACAAAGTGAGTTGGTCCTATTTGATCAATATGTTGAGACACACGGGATTTGAGGAAAGATGGTTAAGATGGATTAAATTTTGTATCTCAACTGTCAAACACTCTGTTTTGGTAAATAGGGGGCTTGTGGGGTTCTTCTCTCCTCAAAGAAGCATCAGGCAAGGTGACCCTATTTCACCTTTCCTCTTTATTCTTGTCATGGAAAGGCATAGTAAAATGCTACAAAAATCCAGGCAGCTTCACTGGATAGAGGGCTTCAAAATAGTAAGGAATAATGGGTCCCAAGCTACAGTTTCACATTTGCTTTATGCAGATTACACTCTGGTCATCTGTGGAGCTGAGAGATCCCAAGTGATCCACCTAAATCTAATTTTGTCTATTTTTGAAGCTATCTCAGGGCTACACATGAACATGCAAAACAGTAGCATATTCCCCGTAAATGAAGTTGCCAATCTGGAAGAATTGGCAGGCCTTATGGGCTGCAATATTGGCTCTTTTCCTTTTAGCTACCTTGGTCTTCCTTGGGTGCTAAATCCAGTTCCATACACATTTGGAATGGGATAATTGAGAAATTTGAGAAGAGGTTGGCCACCTGGCAGATGCAATACCAATCCTTTGGATGGATGAAGACTAACACTAATCAATAGTGTTCTGGACTAGATCATTAGTCCAGAAAGCTTTCAAGGAAAACATACAGAGTTGGGCTGTGGAAAGGCATCAGGAAACTTTAGAGCACCTTTGCTCAGAACACTCATTTGGCGGCACGGAATGGCTCTCTTATATGATTTTGGAAGAACAAATGGTTAGGAAATTCCAACATCCAGGAAGCATTTCCAAACCTTTTAACTCTTGCCCAAGATCCTGATGTTGTCATAGTATCACACAGAGAAGGGGCTGACTGGAACCTCCAACTTAGAAGGGATTTGTATGACTGAGAATTATATGAGCTGCTAGACCTCTACACTAGTCTACAACAAAGCAACCTGAGTCCATCGGTAGCAGACAGACTTAAATGCGGCAATCAAGCAGGTGGCATCTTCTGTGTTAAGTTGAGCTACCAGAAAATGTGCTCTTGCAATCCCCTGCTTGACAACTGGCCTTGGAAGCTCATATGGAAAGCAAAAATTCCACCCAAGGTCATTTCTTTCACCTGGACAGTCCTGAATGAGGAATGCCTCACTCAGGATAATCTGATAAAGAGGAAAATTCAATTCACTCACAGATGCTATATGCGTAAAGTGGAAGCTGAAATCCCTGGCCATCTTTTTGCTTCAGATCTATGGAGCATGTTTTTGTGCATTTATGGCCTCAAATGGATCACTCCTCACTCATTAAGGGAAGCATACTTGAGTTGGTGCTTATGGAGAGTTGATAAATCCATCAAGCACAAATGGAGAATGATACTTGCTTGCATTTTTTGGAGTATTTCGACAGAAAAGAATAGGAAATGTTTTGAAGGGATCTCAACTCCTATAGGCTCTATATATTTATTTTGAAATAGGTGACTTTAACTCCTATAGGCTCTATAAAAGCTAAATGTATGGCTAGTCTATTTTGCTGGTTCAGTTTATTCCCATCTAATAGTTCAGATCAACAATTAGACTTCAGTAGTTCCCTAGCTCTGGCATAGACAGTTTTTGTGTAGGAGCGAGATGTTTCTGTAAGCTTCAATGTCATATCTTGTAACTACTGCATCTTTCAAAGATATCACTTGCTTCATCAAAGAAACAAAAGCTCAACTATTAGGCAATTCGAGCTGCACACTTCTACCTGCGTAAACTTGGACCTAAAACCATTCAGCTTCATGGATATATACATCACACTATACAACTTCTAGCCCTTCTATTGAGCTATTTTAAGCTTTCTACTCATCAATTCAACTCAATTTTCTATTATAGAGAGAAAAAAAAAGAGTCCAAAGCTTCACACGAATGCTATGCATAAAACCTGAATAGAAATTAAATAAAAAAGATACAATCTTTAAGATGCCCTCAAAAGACCTATATTTCCGCTACCATCACCTTACACAGATGAAAGCTTCTCACGCTTTTCTCAGATATCAACGTCTACCAAACAAATAAACCCAGAATGCAACATCCCCAAAACAAAAAAAGAACCAATTGAAATAAAACAGAAATGCTGGGGAACCTCAATTGGGAGTCCTTTTGAGCAAAGCTAAAAAATGAAAAGACTCTTACTTTTCAAGAACCCACTCAAATTGGTTTGATCAGATTCTTGTTTCAAGCTTTCTGAAATGTAACTCCCAAGTTTTCCTCTTCTACAAGAGCTGTTTTCCCATGTCGGTCCAATTCGCCAGCAAGGTGCCTCCCAGCTGCTACTGGATAAAGGGTAATTCCAACTACAGAATGCTAAAAATGGGGCAAAACTGAACTTTCTGAAAGAGAGCCGACAAGGTAGTAGTGTCGAAGCAATTGAATTTTGCTATAAAGTTATCAATTTGGCGAGTCTAGTGACTCGCTCTCTGCAATTGGGGGTTTTTTGGGGAAGAAAGGGGGTGAATAATGAAGAGAGAATTTGGATTCTTTTTGTTGGGAACAAAACAAAAAATAAATAAAATAGGAATAAGCATTTTTCATTTTTGTTCTATTTTTTATTTTATTTTATTACAAAATCATTTCAAGTATCTAGATTTAGTTAGCTTTTGATCATTAATTTCGAATTAGATTTTAAAAATTTATCTTTGAATATTTATTTGGCTAAAAAAAATTATTGTATTTTAGAAATTTAATCTTTAAATATTTACAGATTAGCTCAGATTACTTTTGAAATTTTGGGACTTTCACTTATAAGACTAAAAAAAAACTGTAAATAAAATAAATATTGAAAGACAATTTTAAATTCTGAAAAATATAATTTTAAAAACTATTTTTTTTAATTTTTTACATCAAAATGTTTTAGTCAAGTAAAAGTTTGTCAAGTTATAGTATTAGTTGGGTCCACTTTCATAAAATAGAAACTTTATATTTATTTTTATTAAAATGTTGCAATATCATATTAGTGAAAAGGGTATTAGATAGAATAGAAACTTTATATTTATTTTTGTCAAAATGTATGCAACATCATATTAGTGAAAAGGGTATTAGATGAATTCTAGTATGTGATGTGTTAGATGATTTTATTTTATTTTTGGTAGAGAATGATGTGGTGGCAAAAAACTACTTTAGTGATGAATAAAAGTTATTTAATTATCAATAAATAATAATAATAATTTTAAACACTTAGATGAATCAAATGGTATCATTATAAGCTATTATAATGAAAATAAAGTATGTGGACGTACATAATTATCGAAGGTAATTAGGGAAGGCAAATGAGAGTCAATCGAAAAATCGAACAGCTATGATTGGAACCATTCAAACGTACAAATTGCACAAGTGAAGCTGGAAAATGGACTACAACATATGATGTATTTGCTCCATTACCATCTTCAACTAAAGTATTTTCTACGATAGCATCACAAATGACGCATAGCAAAGAAGTGTTCAATACATCAACAACTTATATCATGTGAAATGGGTTAAAGGTCTAATTATGAAGCACTTGAAAATTAAGATGAATTTGAATATAGTTGCTACACCAAAACTAAGTACACATAATCGATCAAACTGTCTTAGTGGATCTTTGCAACTTAACGTATATAATGAACTTTGTATGTAACTCACTAGAGGTACGAAAAACAAAGAGAAGATATGTACAATCGAGATATCCAGCAACAAGAAGAAGGAAAAAAAATTCAACAATGAAACTCTCAAGCATTTAACAATGATGTGTTGATATCAACGATGATTCATTTCATCATTTTGTCAATAGTGATAATTGAAATTTGTTTGTCTCCTAACCAAATAAAAATATTTGAATGGTTTAATATTTTAATTGATAAAAATTATTATGTGACGTTATCAATGGTTATATGCTATTCAATACAATTTAATTGTGTTAAAGACGTTTAGTTGTTGATTGAATATCAGAAGCTAGCAGTTAATTGTTTAAAGACTATATTAAGGTATGTTAGTTTTTACTTCAAACAAACATGTTTGTGGCTGTCGAGTTTTTTTCTCAAAAAAATTGCCTACATAAGCAAATGCCAAACTTTAAACATTTTGTTTGATTTTAAATATTGTATATTGAATTTTACTTAAAAGTAAATAAACTTATAAATTTTTATTCACTATAAATGTCAATATCATTTATGTGTGCGTTTATTTTAGTAGAATGACGATGATATCATAATAGGGATTATGAGAAGAATAAAATTAAATATAATATAAGAATTAATAAAGCTGAAGAATAATTTTAAAATTATTTATAATGACACTAATAATAATTACACATCAATTATAAATAAATTATTAATCACGTCATGTCACTAATCTCGTATTTTAAAATAACATGACACAATTAAAAATTAAGGTGATAATTTTTTTTCTATTTTTTTTTTACTCTGATAGTACTAAAAGACTCACAAATAATATATCATTAGTAAATGCATACTGAAAAATCATCTTCTCAATTAATTGTTTTTTCTTCTGTTGTACTTTATGATATATTTTAATAAGAGTTTGTTTGGATTACTGCTAAAAACTGCTTATTTCTATAAACATTTTTTTAAAAATGTTTTTGAAAAAAAGTAATTTGTGTTTGACTAATTCATTTGAAAAGTGTCTTTGATAAGCAAATAGTGTTTGACTAGTCTTTTAAAAAAAATGTATTTGAGAGTCAAATTACGAAAAATGGTAAATATCAGTGTACTTTTAAAATTAAGATTATTTTATAGAGAGGAACTATTTTAAACATCTATTAGGATTTTTTTAATTAAAATATGCATATTCGAATTTTCAATCAATATTATACATAAATAAATAAAAATATTAATATAATACTAACACGATGACTTAAATATAATTCAAAATATCAAGAAAAATAAATTTAAAAACTATTCAACAAATTAAACCACTATATACAAAAAATTCACCACAAAAATAAATAAAGCCCTTCATATTTTTAATCCTACAAAATGTTGTTGTTACATTTATTTATGATTCAGTAAAATAATATATAAAATTTAAAATAATAATAGTATATAAACATTAAATAAAAAAATTATTATATAAAAATAAAAAATAAAATTCTTGTATGAAACTTAATCAAATTTATGATATATGTTAATTAATTAATAAAAGATATATTGGTAAATATGTATATATGGGAGGGATATTTCTTCAAGAAAACTAATTTTTTGCTTATGCTTTTTTTATGAAGCAGAAATTTTTAAGTTCTTCCAACATCAGAAAAACTGCTTATGCTTCCATTTAAAAGCAGTTTTCAGAATTTACCAAACACTGTTTTTTTTTTAAAAAAGGTACTTTTATCGCAAAAAAAAACATTTTTGATCTTTCAACAACAATGTCAAACAGGCTCTAAATCTACCAAGTCCCCTTTTTAATGCATTTACCCATTATGCATTTAAAATTATGGATCACATATGTTGATTTAGGACACGAATAAGTTATAATTGTAAGTGTTCTTTCAATTTAGTTTTGATGTGTATCATTTGCATCTTTTATTAGTTGTAATATTTTTTGATCTCATACAATTGAATATATTTATATCAAACATTTTCTATATTAACATTTCACTATAGTAATGAAGTTTTTTTTTTTTTAACTCGATTTTCTCTCTCTCTATACATGTATTATCCTTATATAATAATATCTTAATTACAATCTTTGTATTATCACATTTCTATATCAAATTTACTCAATTATTGGTCAATTTTGCTTTTCAATAGAATGACATGAGTTTTGATTGATTAACAATTTTTTTGACTTTTGTTTATAATTATATTATTTGTATTTATGATTATAGCACTAGCTATGATAAAACTGGTTATTAATTTATTGATAATGTATTAGCTTTTAAAACAACAATTATTAGTAAAAGATGATTGTCTTTAGATTTCTTTTATAACAGTACTTTTTGAAGTAAACACATAATTTCTATCTTAATTTCGTCTAAGACGATTAATAAGATTTAAACACCAAATTACATTATAGGTGTATAATAGTTATTCCCTATAGTAGCAAAAATAATTTTCTTGATGTATAATCCTATTATGAAATAGTCACTAAATAATATTATATAAACATATATTAATATACATATTTGCATATCTATTAGACTATTACACTCATTTTTTAGACATGTTGCACTCTAGTAATCCAACATTAACTTTCATTTAACGTCATTTATTTTATTATTGCTCTATAGAACATACTTTTATTTTGATACTAATTTTCCTCCATTTCAACCATTCTATATATTTTAATTGTATATTATTTAACATGGTCATATACCAATCTGTTATCCTAATTCCTAAAGCATCAAACTTGCATATTATAAAATTATTTACATTTTTTAATGATGCAGATTCATATAATTTTGCCAGTACAATTTTATTCTTCTTTTACTAACTAAATGTATATTTTACATATTGTGTCTTATCTCAATTTATTCTAAATAATTTTTTTTTACTTTTTTTTAGTATCTTTTCATAATTCAAACTTTTAATTGACACTCTTACTTCTTTTATCAAATAATACAATTTTGTTAGTATATATCACACGTCATCAAATTTTATTTATAATAGTATTAGTTAGCTTATTCACAATTAGAGCAAATAAATATCAATTTCATATTCATCTTTGATGTTTACCGACATGTCTTATATGTACTTATTCTATTTTTTAGTATTTCTTCACAATTCAAACTTTTATTTGACACTTTTACTTGTTTTGTCTTATAATACAAATTTGTTAGTAAATGTCACATGTCATCAAATTTTATCTATAATAGTATTAGTTAGCTTTTTCATAATTAGAGCAAAACAAATATGGATTTGATATTCATCTTTGATGTTTACTAACATGTCTTATATCTACTTATTTTAATTTCCTTTTTAGCACTTCTTCACAATTTAGACTTTTAATTGACACTCTTACATATTTTGTCAATTAATACAAATTTGTTAGTAAATATCATATGTTATCAAATTTTGTCTACAATAATACTAGTTAGCTTATTCATAATTAGAGCAACAAATATCAATATGATATTCATCTTTGGTGTTTATTGATAGTTACACTTTTTTTTTAATATCATGCAATTGTTTCTATATAAAATGAAAAGTTGTCAGCCACTAAATGTAATACATATTTATTTATTCACTTGTTTATATATATTTTTAATTAAACGTTTTAAATTATATTTATTACTTCATATTTCATCTCACATAAAATGATATACTATTTTTTTTGTAAATCACACTGAATTTTTTTGTGAAGATTATATCTTATATACTTTAATCAAACGACCCTATTTGTTATATAAATTTATAATCCTTAAAAATTAAAATAGTCTTAAATTTTTTTTAAGACTTCACTTCTTGACTATTATTATGATAAATTGGATGTAACGTGATCAAGATGTTAAGTTTGAAAGTTTTGTACCTGTGGACACGTTTGTCATTCATTATCTTAGCTAGCCTTTGATCCTAAATTTTGAATTAAATATTTAAATTTATCTTTAAATATATATTTGACCATGAAATTTGATCAGATTTTTAAAATTAATTTAAAAAATTAGTAAAAACTGATTCAAGGGAAATTTATTTACTCACAAAAGATAAAATGTTTTCAAGGTAAAATATACCATTGAAATTTTAAGAATCACTTCAAGAATTCCAATTTTTAATTTTCAAGTTTTACTTTTAAGTTCTATGACCAAATAATTTTTTTGTTTTATTAATAAGAAAAATAGAAATAAATGGAGTAATTGTTAAGGTAACTGATATGAGAATAAAAGTACTTGCAATAAACTTTGTTCTAAAAAATTCCAAATCTTCCCAAAATCCTCTCCAATGGCGGGTCTCTACGCCTCTCTCAGACCCCAACCGCCATCTTCTTCTTCCTCTTCACAGCAATCTTTCTTCTCGAAGGTTCTTCTCCTTCTAACAATCCTTCCTCTATCTTTGGCTGTTTTTGCTTTTTTTCTTCAATGGCGTGGTGGTGGAGTTGACGATCCAATCTCTCGATGGTCTCCTGAAGAGTCTCACAAGTTTCCTGGCATGGACAGTTCTCCTTTAGCCACTGTTGCTCACTCTTCTCAGTCATCAGACTGTTCTCTTCTTGCCCATACCAATACGCCGTCGTTCCCTTACTATAAAGACTGGAAATTTAAACTTCATCCAGATCTCAAACCCAAGGTTCGATTTTTTCTTTTCGTTGTTTATGGTTTAATTTGTTTGTGGGGTTTTTGAATTTTGATCGATCTCAAATGGGTTTTGCTGGAATTCATTATTTAGCTAATTGGGAGTGTCTCGCAGATTTTTCTTTCATTTTGCAGTTTCTAGTACCTTCTAGCAAATGAGTAGCTCTACTGCATAACTGGGCTCTTCAATTTGTTTATTTTTATAAATTAAGTATTTTATGAAGTAAATGGAACATTATTCACATAAGATTTGTTAATTGTAGATTCAAGGAGTGCATAGTTTGTATTTACAAGAAGCATTTAAAGGACCTATAGGATATACATTGTTAATCCGAAATTTCATGTAGATCAGTTGCAGGTTGATCATCCCTGTTTCTCTACAGTTCTTTTTTTTCTCTTCTTTCTGGGCAAACACAACAAAATAAATCCAGTATTCGGATGCTTGGTCATGATGGGATGCTTACAATTGTCCCAGTGTTTGCGAGGAGTCTTTTGAGTATGATTAGAGATTAGTATGCTAGTAAAAACTGTTGCAAGGAGACTTTCATTATTGAACATTGGAATGAAAGGGTGCTCTCCTTGCTCACCCTTAGAGCTCATTAAGATTTTAGTTACTGTAGCAAAGAGTGGATTCAGGATGGTAGCAGCCAAGCTTTGGAGGAAAGAAGACAGAAAGCCTTCCAAGTGGTCCAAATGCAAGGAATCTGGCTCCCTTCTTCCAACAAAACATAACAAGAGGATGCCAACCGAGGGTGCTCTGTCTCAATTTGTTTAATCCTCTACTAGCTTCTGCATTTTAGTCGATATTGTAAATGGACGCAAACGATGGAAAAAAATGTTATTTGATCTTCTATCTCGTTTTTTTTAACAGTGTGTTTTACCTGTACCTAGAAGAACAAACCATTTCTGATGTTCTTCATCTTCTGTGCTTGTGATTTACTTGTTGATATGTAAATTCTTGTGAAAAGTCACCCAAGAAATTTAATAATGTGTCGAGAATTGAGATGAAAAAAAGAAAGAATGAAAGGGTGCCAAGTAGAGCTAAATGGATGGTGAGGATTCATACGCCGACCCCAACTAGCTTGAGATTGAATGGTTGATGTTGTAAATACGAAAAAATAAGTATCAGGGAAATGGTTCCTACATTTTTTCTCTTTTTGAACTCCTTCAACCAAAGGAAATCTCCTGAGATTTTATTGTGCAGCTTTTCCTGGTTAAGGGTTGATAACATGCCCCTCTATCCTCATTTCTGCCCTAACAGAACTAGGATTATTTGATACTAAAACAAGTTTGTTCAGCTTTGTTTACACGATAATTTAACTGTCTTGTTTCTCTATATGCAGATATGTATTACAACCAGTACATCTGGTGGCCTAGAGCAGATTTTACCGTGGATGTTCTATCATAAAGTAATTGGGGTTACATCATTTTTGCTTTTTGTGGAAGGAAAGGCTGCATCTCCTGATGTTTCTAAAGTCCTTGAATCCATTCCCGTAAGTCCCCCAACCTGTATTTACCTTCTCAATGATTCTTAGGATTCATCAACACGATCTTTAAATTGTGTGGGGCGCGATTGCGATTAAGCACCTGCCTCTCTGTACCTTACCTTCAATTAGCTCTATCTAGATGTTTTCAAGAATAGCAATTCATTTGGGTGCTCTTATGAAAATTGAAAAAGCATTACTTCTCATGCAATTTTCATGACCTTTCTTTTTTAAGTTAGAGCTGAACTGTAATGGTCCAAATCCAGGTTATCCACTTGTTAAGGCTCAAGTGGCACTTTTCTATTCTCAACCATGGGTTTTGTTTGATCTGCAGGGAGTAAAAGTAATATACAGAACTAGAAAGCTAGAGGAGCAACAAGCCAAAAGGTCTGTTCACTGACATTTTATGATTGTTGTATGGACTGGCTATAATTTCTTGTACTTCGTTTATTCAGGTTCAAGCCAAATTTGTGAGACACAGTTAAACTTTGTAAATTATTTCTTTCCTATTGGCTATAATTGTGTGAGAAACAGTTAGAGTTAATTAGACTTGCAATATATTGACCATGGGATATTTCTAAAAATATAAGAATTTGTTGACTGGTTTTAGTGAGCTGAAATTATAGGAATAATTAATAAGGGCTACAAAATATCAAAAGATATGTTTTGGTGCTTGACTTTGTTTCTTCTTTTGTGCATATTTTCATTGTTTCTATAACTGTTGTAATTATTTCGCGTTGAGTTGAGAAAATTGGCTAAACGTTTTTTCTCCTTTTAGCATTAGCATGCCATTTTCTTTACATATGTTTCACTGACATGCATTTTCTAATTTTGATCTGGCTTGATGGGAATGAAATGTGGCCGTCAAATTTTGTTAATGCTTGTACTCAATGGCATGCATTTTCTAATTTTGATCTGGTTTGATGGGAATGACACGTGACCTTCAAGCTCCGTTAGTGCTTGTATTTTTCACATTTGCACATCTGAGATGTCTACAATTGTTTCACTGAGTCCTTTTTTCTCATTTTGTTCTAGCCGGATTTGGAATGAAACGTGGCTGTCTAGTTTCTTTTATAAACCTTGCAATTACGAGCTCTTTGTGAAGCAATCTCTTAATATGGAGATGGCCATAGTGATGGCAAGGGTATGAACTCTTCTACTTTTGCATCGTCTGTCATTCTAAATCATAGTTGATGATCCATGTACATGTTGAAATGTCAGGACGCTGGTATGGATTGGATAATTCATCTGGACACAGATGAGTTAATACACCCGGCCGGTGCTCGAGAGTATTCTTTGAGGCAGTTGCTGCTTGACGTGCCTTCAAATGTTGACATGGTTATCTTTCCTAACTATGTAAGTTAATTGGAAAATGTTCCAGGAAACAGCTATTTATGGATAGTACATATCTGATTAATTCTCAGAACATGTTGTTTACCGTTGGAATTGTCATCAAGTATTTTAATGATTTTTTTTTTTGTAAATTCAGGAGAGCAGTGTCGAACGAGATGACATCAAGGATCCCTTTACAGAGGTAAGCTGGAACTTGCAATTCATTATTTATTACTGAACTGCTGGACAGTATCGTTGATGGGAAAACTACTTTGATCATTGTGATATGATAAGATGCATTAATATGCTTCTGGTGATTCAGCTATTCAAGTGCAGTAAGCAATTGAGTGATGTTTGTTTAATTCTGTAACTGTTGTATCTTCCTATATGTTAATTGTCCGTCATCTGTTTGACTACAGCAAGTATCATTGATGTAAATAAGGAGAACTCTTGTTCTGTTATGTTATTACCCCCATGATCAGAATCTCTTGAAGTGTTTTTGTCATATTCTGCTGCTTATTAAAGCTATGTAAATAAAGCTTGGCGTATGATCTGAGACTTTTTTTTTTCTTTTGTTGTTTTTTCCTATGTGCCCATCATAATAGGTGTCAATGTTCAAGAAGAATTATGACCATCTAATGAAGGATACATATTTTGGCATGTATAAAGAAGCAACCCGTGGCAATCCAAATTACTTTTTGACGTATGGCAATGGTAAAGCAGCTGCTCGAGTTCAGGACCATCTTCGTCCCAATGGGGCTCATCGATGGCATAATTACATGAAAACTCCAAAGTATGTTTGCCCTCTATAGTCTCTCCCTTAGTAACCTGTCTATTATGCTCTTGGCCCTAAGCTCATGCAAACTTATTGGACGTTAGTGGGATACTTTTCAATTGTTCCATATTCTCGTGCTCTCCAGAATGCTATGAATGTTACAACCTTTTTCCTTTGTAGCACTGGTATCTAGAAGAAGCCCATCATACTAAATTTTATTCAACATATGTCAGGGAGATTAAATTGGAGGAGGCTGCTGTTCTGCATTACACATATTCCAAGTTTTCTGACTTGACTTCAAGGCGAGATAGATGTGGTTGCAAGCCCACAAAGGAGGATGTTAAGAGATGCTTCATGTTGGAATTCGATAGATCTGTGAGTTTATGCTCCTTTTCTGTTCTTCATTTATAGATGGAAATAAGACAATGCCTTTCCTTTTGCTTTGTGTATACAAGTGTACTACTGGATAATGTAGTTCCATAATTTTTACCGGTTCATGATGGTTGCTGGAGAGGACTTGTTTTATATCTAATCCGTATTTGGATCTTCCAATTATCTTATTCGAGTTGGTAGTTATGCTACTGGGTTTCAGGAAAGATGTGTGGGTGAGTGGAACAGGAGGGATGGGGAAGCTGCCAACTTGAGTTTATTAGATTAATAATGCTAAATGTCTTCAGCATTTGGATGACTACTTTAAGGTCCAATGAGACTGTTTCAACTAGATTAGAATATTAGACTTCTGGTGTTTACTCTGTTTTGGTTCCTTGTGGGTAAGGGGAGAGGCTCATTAATTTACTTTGTTAAATGTAGTAATCATCATTTGCTTCCCTTTGTTTGGTACAACTAGTAGGTGAGTAACAAAGGGGGCAGGTGAATAAACCTACACGGGGATAGGACTCAATCCCTTAATCCCCTTTTACTTCGCCTCCTATTTTACTTGCGAAACAAATAAATAACCCATGACACTTCTCGTCCCTAGGTCTTAGGTCTTTGTTCTAAGAGTGAAGCGCATTATGTGTGGATTAAACACACGTCATGGGTTTGAACCTTGTTGCAGTCAAAAACCTAGTGTTTAAGTGGAGAGGGGTAGAGACCAGACTTACATCAACCGGATGAGACTAAGTGGATGTTCGAACCGACTGGTGCCTCATTCGCCCTAAGGGAATTCTCGGTTATCAAAAAATGACCCATGACACCTCACTCTACTTCATGTCCCCATCCTCTTCCATTTCCAACTATATCATAGCATTAGACAGATTCTGAAAGGACAAATTGTTGTTGGAGGAACTTTTCTGTTTGTTTGTTGGGTACTCATTGTGAGATTTGCTATTCTTAAAGGCAAAAAGTGTAAATAGTGTACCTCCACATACCATTTTATTCTCTTGAAAGATTGATTGCCTGTTTGGCCAAACTTCTAAAATCAACTTATTTTGAGAAAAGAGTAACCTACTTCTAAAATCAACTTATTTTGAGTAGTGCTTTTCAAAAAAGTACTTTTGGTGAGAAACCGTTTGTGTTTGGCCAAGCTTTTTAGAATTGCTTCTAAGTGTATTTTTTTCAAAAGTGCTTATGGGGAAAATCACATTTTTAAGCTTCTGAAAACAGCTTATGCTACTTTGCATAAGCACTTATTTTCTCCTAAAAGCTTGGCAAAACACCTCAGTTTTTAAAATAAACATTTTTTGAAATAAAATAAGCACTTTTGGCCTCCCAAAGCTTGGCCAAACAGGCTATGGATCTAGATAGTAGAATTGTCTATATTTGTGTCATCACAATCTCGTCTAGTTTCACCTTAACTTTATCCTTCTTAAATTGACTAATTTTGCAGTGGCAATATTAGGCACACCTCATCTATGCCTTAAGCAAGTTTGCTATAGAAGTTATGTGGGTGTGTTGACCAAGTCTTAGTGATGCTGTTGCTGCGATGCTGATTGTAGTCATATATAGTTGTAGCAGCTCGTTAGGAATATATGTGGCATTTATAGTGGTAGATAAATGACAGAAAAACATTCCTAATAGCGTGCTTCCAGTGTTTTTGTTTTGTTCCAACAGTGTGATTCTTTTACTCTACCTGTAGTTTAATTTATTTAGGATGAGAAGTTTTTCCTTTTTTAAACTTGTGGTACTCTGCTGTGGACTGTTTTCTTGAGCTGTGAGCGGCTATCGGAAACAACCTCTCTACACTTTTCAGAACTACACTGGTTATGTTGTTGTAAACTTTTGGTACTCTGGTTGTCGAAGAATCAATCTCAGGCAACATCTATATATATTGGTTTTGTGCAAATAATTCTCTGTAACCCCTTCTAAAATAAATTTTTGTATAAATTGTTCTAATGAAGTGCAGTTTTTCTGGTGCTTCTACGGGGGGCGGGGGGGGGGGGGGGGGTTTAATTTTTTTTCATTTTTTTTTTT